ATGTCACGAATTGCATTTCAAGGTTTCCGATTGCATTGATAAATTTTATTTCATAGATTTCGATAAATTTTATTTTGTATGGAATTATTTTGTGACATTGTGTTGGAATTGAGCTGTGTTGTTTACCCATACCATTCATTTCGTAAATATAAGTATAGATGCCACACCTGTGACAGGTAAAATGATGCTTTTTCTTGAAAAACAGCGCCATCTGTTGCATGTAGAAGCAAAACACATGCTATACTAAATATGTTCCAATTCCATTTCAGTGTTTCTGATTGCATTGAAAAATTGAATTTTCATAGATTTTGATTTATTTTCATCTTGATTTAATTATTTTTTTGAATTGCGTTGGAATTGAGCTGTGTTGTTTACATACCGTTCATTTCGTGAGTATCGTTTATTTTTTTATTTTTTCATATTTTCATTTATTTTTTTAACTTTTTCTTATATTTCAGTGATGGGAACATCAGATCACTTGATGTTCCCAATTTTCTGATGGGAACATCAGATCATTTGGGAAGGCATCGGACGAGGGAGTGGGGAATGGTGGGGATGACGAGGGGATGGAAGTGAGAGATGGTGGGGAGGACGAGGGGACAAGGGAGGGGTAATGGTGGGAAAGAACGAGGGGACGGTGGAGTGGGGAATGGTTGGGAGGCCGAGGAGACGGGTGAGGGGGGGAATAGTGGGGAGGACTGGGGGGACAGGGAAAGTTGCTGTGGCTCAGCAACGCACATGCGTTGCGTTTGGTGGTGGTGGCACCATCGTGATAGTGCCACCATCCACGACAGAATAGCGACGTTCAGAGTAGCGATTTGGCGTGTTAGGATTTCGACTGTGGATCCCAAACTGCCGTCAACTATACTGAAATTGCCTCCTTGACATGTCAGGAGGTCGTTAGGACGGAGGTTACTCTTTCTCTCTCTCTCTCACTCTCTCTCTCTCTCTCTTTCTCTCTCACTCACTCTCACTCTCTCTCCCCAAACATTAATTATTATTGCCGAATTATTAATTGTTATTCATTTTTTTGTACCGATGAAAATATAACTCCTACTTTAGATAGTGGAAGACATAACAGCCTTCAACTTGTACACAAACCATCCAGTAACGTAGTGTTGGCCTCTGTATAACGACCACCTGCTCGTCTTAACGAAGTCATTATACTTACCGCTTACCACGATGCTCGTTACCCTTAGTTAACGAGGTATTTGAATGGTTGAAACGACCGTATGTGTTGTTTGTCAGCCCGTTGCCAACACGTGCTCCATCACTTAGGTGTCTGTGTGTGTGCTAATCGTTCTTGTGTTGCAGAGGGCACGTGTCTCAGGGCACGTGTCTCAGGGCACGTGTCAGAGGGCACGTGTCTCAGGGCACGTGTCTCAGGGCACGTGTCTGATGCCACGTGTCTGAGGCCACGGGTCTCAGGGCCAACTATGCTAAATATCACTTGCCAGCTTAACTTAAATAATAATAATAATAATAATTTGCTATAGTTTTTATGAAGAAAATGTATATACGATACATGTAGCTTCAAGCCAACTGTGGTTCAGGAAACTAAACTAAACACTCGAGTGATAATTGTTATTACCCTGTCATCCCCCCCCCTCCACCCCCCCCTTGTCCAGCCTATTCCCCCCCCCTCGCCCCCTCTTCCCTATCCTGGGCCCATTACTGTACCTACTTTCCCCTCTCCCTCCTCACTCTCCCACCCATTACCCGACTCTCAGTACCCCATCCCACAACCCATGAGCACCCTGTTACTAAACTACTAGTCCTCCCCTTCATATTAACTGGCCCCCCATCCCCTCCCCCCCCCCCATCACCGCACTATTAGCGTACCGGAAAATTGATACAAGAGTGACAATAATGGTGAATGGGGCGTGGTGGGGGGGAGGGTGGGGGTAGAGGGGGAGGGGAGGGGTAGGGGGGGAGGGGGCACGCGACAACTGTCACAACAACAAGGACAAAAACAGAGGAATACATTAACTGAGACCGGCCACCGGGAGGAAAGGTGATCTTCCTGCAGGACCACCCTTCCTTTGTTGGGGGGGGGGGGGGGGGGGCTGTGTAAACACGCGGTCACAAATGTACTCACCTAGTTGTGTTTGCGGGGGTTGAGCTTTGGCTCTTTGGTCCCGCCTCTCAACTGTCAGTCAACTGGTGTACAGGTTCCTGAGCCTATTGGGCTCTATCATATTTACACTTGAAGCTGTGTATGGAGTCAGCCTCCACTCCACATACTTCCTAATGCATTCCATTTGTCTACCACTCTGTGTGAGTGTGTGTGTGTGTGTATGTGTATGTGTATGTGTGCGCGCGCGTGCGTGCTCGTACTTACAATATATTCTCACCTAAATGTGTGTGCAGAGTCAAGCGCTAACTCCTGAGCCCCGCCTTACCAGCTGGCAGCTGTAAAATATAGCATTTCCTGCCAAATCTGTTTTTAAAAATATTGCATTAACATATAACACCTCTCTCACTAGACCGTGTCATTTGCTCATTGTTCTTACGCTAAAATGTTCTATCATCTGTGTGACCAGCCTGCGCCTCCTGTCCCCTTGTTCTACTCCTTATACTCCTTATACTGCCTTATACTGAACATGTCCTCCTGTTCATGAGGAGAGAGGGAGTGTGGTGAGGGAGGAGAGAGGGAGTGTGTCCTTGTGTCCTTGTCAACCTTGTCAAGTCCCCGGAAACTCTTATATATGGATCGGTACTCTTCTCTACATTCCGCCTCTCGTCACTTGTACCGAGGTTCAGTACCGTTGTTGTTGTCTTAGATTTAGCTACTCAGAACGAGATGTCCATGTAGCACGGGCTATGGTGAGCCCGTATCTGAGTTCGATTATTCGCGATAACATTGTTACTGTGATATTTGGGTCAAAGTTTTAAATGGAGGTGGGGTTTCCTCCTTTTCTCCCGTTTCTTTTCCGCTTCTGTTTCAGCGCACTGGTTTTTGTCTTGTTTTAATAACATTATCTTGGTGGCAGATATAGATACACTCGGGTGTCCCATTCTTTAACTGCTTTGCTAACCATTGTAGTCACTGTGGAATTTACATCTAATGCAGCTGCTGTCGTTGGATTAATGTCGTTGGATTAATGTAACACAATACTTACATAATGACACTCATTAGCTATTGGGTTCATTACTTCGCAGCAGCACTTGTAACCAAGTCTGAGTCTGTGTATGGCTACTGCAATGTCTCTGGATACCTTTTTGTCAGGCTTGAAAGAGCAGTACCCAGTGACTTGTTCGTACCATATCGCAGTGGATCTTCCTTCCGCTACTTTGGCTCTGTGGGGTTCAGTACCACTAACCTTTCCTTATAGTTTAACTCTCGCAGGTCTGGTGCGAGAATCGTTCCATACGTCTGGAGTTTTCAGTGTGGTTTTAGTGTTCCTTCAGGTGGGGTTCCACGCTGGGGCGGCATACTCCAGAATATTCATAGCATATGTCTGTGAAGGCATTACAGTTCCCGTGGCGCAGTGGTAATTAACACTCGCCCCGTGCTTCACGAGCTATTTGGCCCCGGTTCGTATCCTGGCCGGAGAGGATTGACTAGGCTCCAATCCATTGCTGTACGCGCCTCTGTTCACCCAGCAGTGATTGCGTACCTGGCTGTTAAGCTCTCGACCTCCTAACATGAGTCAGCAGTCGTCTGTTCGTGTACCCACCTGTGTAAACAAAAAAATACCTTATCTTTGTTTCGTGTTTTTTTTTATTAACCCATTTAGGTACATCTACATTTTCTGTGACACAGATATAAACAAAAAAGGCTTCGAGACGACCTCAGACCGCAGACCGTCTCCACAAGGAGACGGCCAAGATGAGCAGTTATATCACCGTCTTGCCCCACAGACAAATATATAATATAGGTTAACACCGACGGTATATGTGAAACTGACGAGTATGAACCTTTATGAACCTCTTTAGGCATTCAGAATACTATGTTGCTCAAAGCTATCACATTAACACTATGCTACCTACGTGAGACTAGTTATAATGTACGCAGCTCCAGCACGGATTCCTCGCCCTCAACAAGCACACAAGGGAAACTCAGGAATTTACAATGAGGCTCGTCCCCCAAATAGGTGAAGATAAGGTACAATGAAAGGTTGATATTACTTTATTTAATGACACAAGAAGGAGAAAGGAGGGAGACATGATAGGGACATAAATAATATATGGGGGGAACGAGAGGACATGAGCAGTAGCCCGACACACAGATGAACCACAAAAGTGTAAACAAATATTCCCCCAGCAGAAAAGTTTGAGGAAAGTGTGCTAAACAAGACGAGGAGGAAGAAGAAGCCAACTACACAGCTTCCAAAGTAGATATAATGGTAGACATGGAGGTCAGGGGGCAGTGTGCTACTCTTACCACACTTGGAACGGTCGAGTCCAAGACCTGAAGCTCGATCATCCAGGTACAAATAGGCAAGTACACTTAAGTCACTCCCACGCTACATCCCCCATTCTCTCTCTCTTTCTCTATCTCTCTTTCTCTCTCTCTCTCTCTCTCTCTCTGTCTCTCTCTTTCTCTCTCTCTCTCTCTCTCTCTCTCTTTCTCTCGCTCTCTCTCTCTCTCTCTTTCTCTCTCTCTCTCTTTCTGTCTCTCTCTCCCTCTGTCCTTCTCTCTCTTTCTCTCTTTCTCTCTCTCTCTCTCTCTCTCTCTCTCTCTCTCTCTCTCTCTCTCACACACACACACACAAACGGGTTCGTCTTTAGTTACACATAATGGATTTCACTCCTAAACAAATAATTAACTTGTGCTTCGCTTTAGTTCATTCAAACAGAACACGAGAGAAACTTAAATTAATTAGTATTACCTGTGTCAGTAAACGACCAATGCTTCGTGTGCGTCCCAGAGCCGCGCCTAACACAGGACCATTCCGTCATAAAACACCACCAGAGAAACTAACAAACATACAAACACAACCACTTCTTAACAAACGTCTGAAAATTCGCAGCAAACTTGGCCTTACGTCACCAGCATGAACGGTTGTTGGTGCGTTTGTTTCTTGGGCTCCAGCAGCCAGGGACGCAGACCAGCAGCCAGGGACGCAGACCAGCAGCCAGGGACGCAGACCAGCAGCCAGGGACGCAGACCAGCAGCCAGGGACGCAGACCAGCAGCCAGGGACGCAGACCAGCAGCCAGGGACGCAGACCAGCAGCCAGGGACGCAGACCAGCAGCCAGGGACGCAGACCAGCAGCCACAGGGACGCAGACCAGCAGCCAGGGACGCAGACCAGCAGCCACAGGGACGCAGACCAGCAGCCAGGGACGCAGACCAGCAGCCAGGGACGCAGACCAGCAGCCACAGGGACGCAGACCAGCAACCACAGGGACGCAGACCAGCAGCCAGGGACCATACTCTGCAGACCAGCAGCCAGGGACGCAGACCAGCAGCCACAGGGACGCAGACCAGCAGCCAGGGACGCAGACCAGCAGCCACAGGGACGCAGACCAGCAGCCAGGGACCATACTCTCCAGACCAGCAGCCAGGGACCATACTCTCCAGACCAGCAGCCAGGGACCATACTCTGCAGACCAGCAGCCAGGGACGCAGACCAGCAGCCACAGGGACGCAGACCAGCAGCCAGGGACGCAGACCAGCAGCCACAGGGACGCAGACCAGCAGCCAGGGACCATACTCTCCAGACCAGCAGCCAGGGACCATACTCTCCAGACCAGCAGCCAGGGACCATACTCTCCAGACCAGCAGCCAGGGACCATACTCTCCAGACCAGCAGCCAGGGACGCAGACCAGCAGCCACAGGGACGCAGCCCAGCAGCCAGGGACGCAGACCAGCAGCCAGGGACCATACTCTCCAGACCAGCAGCCAGGGACCATACTCTCCAGACCAGCAGCCAGGGACCATACTCTCCAGACCAGCAGCCAGGGACGCAGACCAGCAGCCAGGACGCAGACCAGCAGCCACAGGGACGCAGCCCAGCAGCCAGGGACGCAGACTAGCAGCCAGGGAGGCAGACCAGCAGCCAGGGAAGCAGACCAGCAACCAGGGAGGCAGACCAGCAGCCAGGGAGACAGACCAGCAGCCAGGGACGCAGACCAGCAGCCAGGGACGCAGACCAGCAGCCACAGGGACGCAGACCAGCAGCCAGGGACGCAGACCAGCAGCCGGGGACGCAGACCAGCAGCCAGGGACGCAGACCAGCAGCCAGAGAGGCAGACAAGCAGCCACAGGGACGCAGACCAGCAGCCACAGGGACGCAGACCAGCAGCCACAGGGACGCAGACCAGCTGCTCTACAGACCTCTCCCACCATGCCCGGTACACGTCTTAAGACAGGTGGGGTGTGTGAGACAGTCACAGCGTCGTGTGCTCCAACAAATCAGACAGACTAACGAACAGCCATGAAACGACGGGTGGTTCGTGCGTGGTAAATACGGCTTCATTATCGCGCGCTGGCAACTGGCGGGAGATCGATGGCGGGCTCCGAACTGGACGACGATGAGACACTTTCCTACCTCACTCTCACTTTCCCCTCCCTCCTACACCACTACTCGGGCAATGAAATTCATAATAGGTTGTCCATCGACGATTAAAGTTGGTTAACGGTGCTGTGCAGTAAGCTGTTGAATGATTATCTCTTATCTTTAATGGAGTCGCGCCGCAATAAATAGGTAAGAGGCAACTATCCTTAGCGTAATATGACATAACCGCCCTCAATGTGGACCCATAAACCACTATTATTTGTCATTACTTCCTTTACAAAAACATTCGCTTTATATACATCATGAATTCGACAACAACGCCGCAAAGCATTACTAATGTATTCACTTTGCGACAGAAATCCTGTATTGCAGTAAATAGGTACCTGGGAGTTATACAGCTGCTACGGGCTGCTTCCTGGGGGGTGTGTAATAAAACGGAGGCCTGGTCGAGGACCGGGCCGCGGGGACGCTAAGCCCCGAAATCACTTCATTATAACGTCAACATATACCAGGAATGTCTTGGGCGGCAGCTGGTGGGAGACACGAGGTCCACCACCTCTGGTCACTGGTCGTCCTCCCTCCACCGTCGAGTCGTGGACTCACGACTCACAACTGATTTCGTTCGAACACTTCCGGAACAAGTGCTTCACTGACGAATTCTGTTCGAACCACAACGCTGTAAATGCTTCACCCACGTACTATAAATACAAATAATCGCCAACAGAACCTAACACCTAACCTAACATATTCTTATATATGCACAATATATTATAATATTAATTTATATTTGAGAAAATTCCCGTTTTGAATGAACAGCATGTAAAAATATATGAATGCGTCTGTGGGGTCGACCGCTGGATGTAATGGACTTGAGTCGAGGACGGGTTGGAGTTAGGATAAGGGCACTTTAATACGACAGTTTCTGAACGTTGAGAAACCTTAGGAAAACTGGCTGAATAAACTGTTTCTCTTAAAAGAAACAAAACTAGCCTAGCACCCTTATAGCTTCCTTCAAAATTACTTCATAATAGGTTGTGGTTTTTCTGTAAACCAAAACAGAAGTTTTAATTGTTTATTTTATTTTATAATTTATATGTTGCTGTCTTAATAATCTGTCAGCACTAAATAAAACTAAATATATAAAAGGATACAAGATTTTATTAGAATTTTCACTTAATATTTTCTTTCCCTGGCGCAATTTTTAAAAAAATTCTAATTTAATTTCACACTGCATTCAAATGTAATTTTTTTACACTCCATAAATATTACCTCTGAAATTAAACTGTCCCAGTGGTATGGAAGTGTATATATTTTCTAAGTAATTTTATCTTGCACTCTATTCCTTTTCTCTCTCTCTCTCTCTCTCTCTCTCTCTCTCTCTCTCTCTCTCTCTCTCTCTCTCTCTCTCTCTCTCTCTCTCTCTCTCTCCCCTCCCCTCTCTCTCTCATTTATCTGTGACAGACAACAGGTGATACTTTAATTAAGAAAGTGAGCGAGGTCCTTCTAATCAATGTCAAGGAAGTATCGCATTTCTGAGCCACAATTGTGTCCCGTACAATAGTGCGACCCCCCCCCCCCCCCCTCCCTCCCCCCTCAGATGGTACACTATTTTGGTAGTTATGTTAATACTTCCCCAGCGGACCACTGACCCCCCCCCCTCCCGGGGACCCCCACACCCCCTCTACCCCCCCCCCCCCCCTAACCCCACCCCTGGTCTGCATCAACATGGTTCCCGACGACAATTTTTAGACAACAACAATTCAGCCAGACCCCAGGCGAGGGTTCCGGGAATATTTGCGGAGTCACAGACAAGACCTGGCACTCGAACCCGCGGCCATAAAGTGGGCTGCTAACACTGATCGCTACTAATGTTCTAGGGCGTGAATACTGCCACTGGATTAGTGTTCGTGAGCAGCGTGGCGCCCATGAACGCTGTTCTTGCTCATCCGGATTCCTCCCGTGCCACGGATTTTTGGGCGCCAAGTGAATATGAGTCAAATGAGCAATTGCTTCATTCTAAGAGTGTGGAAGACAGGAGAGGTAGGTGGAATATATATATATATATATATATATATATATATATATATATATATATATATATATATATATATATATATATATATATATATATTCTGAAGTAAATCTGAGCACCGGGATATAATTTACAGCTACAATAATTAATTTTGACACTGATGACATGAATATCGTTACCCCGTGAAGCATACATGTGCGTACGACTGGTGCCCAGGACGGCGTATGTGTTCTGATCTAATAATGTGTGTGTGTGTGTGTGTGTGTGTGTGTGTGTGTGTGTGTGTGTGTGTGTGTGTGTGTGTGTGTGTGTGTGTGTGTGTGTGTGTGTGTATTCACCTAGTTGTTCTTGCGGGGGTTGAGCTCTGGTCTTTCGGCCCGCCTCTCCACTGTCAATCAACTGTGTGTGTGTGTGTGAATGAGGGACGCATAGGATAAGCATTTGAATTGTGTTTACAACACGTGTGTATGCAGATGTGTAGGTTAAGTGCACGTATGGGAGGAGAGAGGGAGGGAGGGAGGGTGAGAGGTGAATATGACTGCAGCAGTACTGACCAACACACCTTGGGGGGAGGACACACCTGCCTCCATAAACTGTCAGATACTAAATATTCAAATGAGGAGGGTGTTGTAGAGTGCGAGGGAGCGTTGGAGAGAGCTGAGAGGAGCGTTGGAGAGAGCTGAGGAGCGTTGGAGAGCAGGGAAAGTGTTCAAGAGTACGAGGAAGCACCAAGAGGCGTTGACAGCATGGGAGACCGTGAGAGTATTAACATTATTTAGAGTGCAAGGAAGGTCAGCGAAGGGCAGTGGGCATAAGGAAGTGTGAGAGTGAGGGAAGGGAAATGAGAGTGAGGGAGTGAGAGTCTGAATACTAGTGTGTGAGCATGAGTGAAGGAGTGTGAGTGTGAGGGTGAGATGGTAGAAGAGAACAAATGAGTGTGAGTGAGGTAGTGTGTCTGAGGAAGAATCTGCAAGTGAATAGCAGTGTGTCAACGGAGATGTGATTGACATTCATGAGACCGGCGGAGACATTATTCCTCCCCCACCACCACAACCTATTCCCCTCATCCACATCTCCCCACCACCGCAACCTCCCTACCCCCACCACAACCTCCCCTACCCCCTACACACCATCTCCCCCCCCCCACCACAACCTCCCCTACCCCCACCACACCATCTCCCCCCCCCCCACCATAACCTAGAACCCCAATGATGGAGCGTGGAACAGACTCACACTAAACACTTGCTGCTCACTACGTTAAGACTTAGCTACTGACGACTTAAAACTCGGTATTATAATCCTTAATGTATGCTGTATTTCCCCTTGAATGGAACACTACTGTTGTGTGGTGGAGGAGAGTGTATACCGGTGGCTGGTGTATGGCTGACTCATGAGTCGTCCTGGCTACTGACGCCAGTGCCGGTCCCCTGGCACTGACCAGAGACCCCAGTGCCGGCCCCCTGGCACTGACCAGAGACCCCAGTGCCGGCCCCCTGGCACTGACCACCCTCGCCCTCCTCTACAATCGGGACATTTTTCGACCATTTTATCCACCCTGTTGGGCTATAGAGTTCAGACTCCTTCATTTATACAACTAGTAAATCTTTTGACACCTCCATTGTATTTTGTCGGCTCTAAAGACAGTATTTACGCCAGAAACATACCTTGAAAATCAAAGCTGCCACTTGACATTTGATTACTCTCAGCATTTGATTCAAAAAAGAAAATTGTGGCCTGACAGAATGGCACTCAATAGACTTGAGTGGAAACTGCCTGAACTGCACCAGGATATGTATGCCTATAGAAAAGCGCTTGGCGCAGAGGAATGTATTACAATGATATTACATGTATTACAATGACATTACATGTATTACAATGGCATTACATGTATTACAATGATATTACAATCTATCTGAATGACAGGCCAGGAATGCTGATATTCCTGGACCTGGAGAAAGCCTTTCAACTGGCTAGCGCCCCAGCTATTCTCTGCTGTCTCATCGACAAAGAGGTCGCTAAAGGCAACGAAAGAAAGTTAATCATTGAGGTTAATGGAGTGTGGAGATGTGGTGCCTTGTCTCACCTACAGCAAATGTGTGACGGTGATTAACTAACACAGGATACGTTAGAAGTACTCCATTGAATAGGTTCAAATTGTGAGCGGTGTCTTGGTGCTCAGTGCTGCTTGTATATTTGGTGGTCGACGTTCGAGGCGGCCTCCTGGGTCGAGGGACATCACCGCACTACCACCAAACCTCCCGCGCTCCTCACCAACAAACTGTGTTAACCAGTTTTTTGCCGCCAAATTATTTCCCGCGATTTTTTCAGCGTCATTTATTTTTTCGTGTCACTTTTTTTCCCGATGATGCTCAGCACTCTGGGCGCGGCGTCCCCTCACTCAGCCTCCCACCAGAGGTTAATTTTCCCCTCTTCATGTCGCATGTAATGGAAAATTGAATCAAAACTTTTTTTCCCCAACTCTACTCCTAAGCGAACTTGAAGGAGAGAGAGAGAAAGAGAGAGACGGAGAAGCAGAAAAAAATGTGGAAAAGATTGGAAACTTGGCGGTAATAACGTCATTGTAACCCCGGCTCGGAGCTGCTGGATAGTCAGTCCCCCCCCTCCCCCCTCTCCCTCTCTCTCTCTCTCTCTCTCTCTCTCCCTACCTTCTTCTCTACACTATTTCCGGGTCATTTGTTGTGTAGTACGGACGTCGCCGCCTTTATGTACCTTGCTCGTCCCTCCTGGGAAATCTTTCCAGGTGTTCCAGGTGGTATAGAGGGTTGAGGGGCAGGTGGTGCAGCGGCTACAAGTAGCGACCATGTGGCGGTCGGGGCTAGTTGGTGTGCGGGGCTAGTGGTAGGGGCTAGTTGGTGCG